CGCCGCCCCCCCCCGCCTCGCCCGCTGCCTCGCTGCCCGACCTGGGCGACCAGCGGGAGCGCTGGGAGACGTTTCAGAAGCGACAGAGGCTCACCTTCGAGGGCGCCGCCAAGCTGCTGCTGGACACCTTGTGAGTGCGGCCGGGGCCGGGCGCGGGACCCGGCGCCACGCGGACGCCCTCAGCGCGAGAGCGGCTGGCGCGGGCCGGGGCAGGTTTTCAGCTCCGCGTCCTTTCCCGCACCGTGACCCACGCGTTCTCGGGTGCTAGCACCGGGCGCGTCTCTAAGTGGCGCGGCCGCGAGGCTTGGCTCGGGGCCGGCGTGCGGCCCTTGACGGGGCACTGCGTCCCGGAGCGTGAGAAGAGCCGCGCCGCGTCCTGGGACACAAAGGGTCTTTCCCGGGGACAGCCATCGTGCTCGGGACGTTGTCCCTCGTCTGGGCGCGCCGAGGGTGCGGGGGCCTTTCCCAGCGAGGAGACGATAAAGCCCACCACGACTTTGTGCTCCTCCCCGGGTCGCTTTTTATATTTGCGCACGTGTTTTTGGAGAGAGGGGGGCAGGGAGAGGCCAGCGGGTGGGCAGAAAAGCTGGAATAGTTTGGAACCAACCGGGAGGCGAGATCCCGTTATTGTTCCCGGCGCTCCCTGGGAGGGAGCGGAGTGCGGGGGAGGGGGTAATTGATCCCGAGAGAAGCGCGCGCGAAGAGATGCTCGGCATCCGGGACGGCTTCGCGGGTACCTAAGCGGAGGGAGGGGGCCTCGATGCCCCTGGGTGGCTCGCTCTCCTTCGCGCTCCCCCAGCGTTGCTCCAGCAGGAGAAGAACCCCCAGGACCTGAGACGGATGGGCCAGGGGAGGATTTCAGAGTGTCCGTGGTGTTAGAAACCAGCTATGAACTCCGGCAGCGGCTGCCGGAGCATCTGGATCCCTACCCCGTACGACAGTTGTGCTGCAGAGAACTATTTTAGCACCCTAATAATCTAGCTCCGTGTCCGTGATTTTATGAATTACGAAGAGCAGTCAAAACCACAGGAAAAACCAGGCCGACCTAACAATTGCATAACAACCCGAGGGTTACGCCTTTTCTTGATCAAAAAATGTTCTTTTGAACTTAATCCAGAAGAAAGTGGTTAGGGTGCGTCTTCTCGGAGGTGAAATATTTGGTTACCTGTGTGCTTCCCTTTCTGACTTATCATCTTGGACTGCAGGCTGAACATTTTTTTTTTTTTTACATTCGTCATTAAACATTTTTGAGCCCCTATGATGTGCTGCCCATTGCTAGGTGTAAGGGCTATAAAGACCCCATGAAATGTAAAACTCAAATTTGTAGTAAATTTTTACTTTAAAACAAACTTGATAAGTGGTCAAGAAAATGATTTTAAAATGTTGATAACAGACAAGGGAGCTCGTTTTGTTTTGTTTTTACCTGTCAGATTGGTTTGAGTGCATACGCTTATTTTAAAAACCCAAAACTCACTAAATTAACTTACATGCAAAAAGAATGCCTAACTCTGCACTGTTGTGAAAATATTATTGTATAGAAAGAAGTCTGCAGGAATCTATTGCATATAGTTAACTGTGGATGGCTCTGGGTAAGATTATAGGAGACTTTCTTTTTTTAACATTATCAAATGTTGTAACGTTTTAAAAATTTTTTTTTTACAATGAGCGTTATTTGTATGTGCAGAAAAGATTTTAAATACCAGTTCACTGATTCAACCTGTAAAGAAACGTGGAATAACCAAAAAAATGCAAAATACTGCATGTTGTTTTTCCTGTAATTATTGCTCAAGCAGGGACAGTGAAAGGTTTTCTCATTGCTGAGAAGTGTTCAGCCCTTTTGGAGTGCAATTTGATGTTACTTATCAAGCTTAATAAAGTTCAGTTAAGGGCCTGGCTTATATATGTTTTAAAAGGATTAAAATAGCATGTCATATGGGGCGCCTGGGTAACTCAGTTGGTTAAGTGTCTGACTCTTGGTTTCAGCTCAGGTCATGATCTCATGGTTGGTGGGTTCAAGCCCCACATGGGGCTCTGCTCTCACAGTATGGAGCCTGCTCAGAATTCTCTCTCTCACTGTCTCTCTGCCCTTCCCTCACTCGTGTGCTCTCTCTCTCTCAAAATAAATAAATAAACTTAAAAAGAATGTAATGTGTACATATAGCTCTGTAAAGAGTCCTGTATATGCAAGATACTGGTGGGGAATGTAGCAAACATTCCAGAATTCTTCTCAGAAGAAGCCTTTTCCCAACTACCAGATTCAGGTCCCCTCGTTTTACTTTTTCCCAGCGGCTTGTACTACCACAGTCCCTTAAATACTACTTGGGTCATTTCTTTGATGGCTGCCTAAGGTTGCCAGGGCCAGGAGCCTTGTCTGCTGTATCTCACTGTTCTCTCCCCGGTGTCTAGCTCATTAAAAAAAAAAAATACAAATAAAAAAAAAAATCCAGGTAGGTCTTTGACATGTAAATACACATGTTTGAGTGGGTGGGATCAGGATCCTCCACCCAAGTCCCATGGTGCGTATTATTGGAATGTTTTATTTTTGTGACCTAATAGAACATAAGAAATTTTTTAAACGAGAGGTCATTGAAAAGACCTTTATAAAAGGCCTTTCTTTTTTTTTTTTTTTAATTTTTTTTTTCAACGTTTGTTTATTTTTGGGACAGAGAGAGACAGAGCATGAACGGGCGAGGGGCAGAGAGAGAGGGAGACACAGAATCGGAAACAGGCTCCAGGCTCTGAGCCATCAGCCCAGAGCCCGATGCGGGGCTCGAACTCACGGACCGCGAGATCGTGACCTGGCTGAAGTTGGACGCTTAACCGACTGTGCCACCCAGGTGCCCCAAAAGGCCTTTCTTTTATAGCATTGCCAGTACCTCCTCAAGAGAAGACTTTTGTCCCATCCTGCTTCCTTCTTCCAACAAGGAGGGAGAGAGAGAGAGAGAGAGAAAGAGAGAGAGAAAGAAAGCGTGAGCTGTGCAATAAGGTCCTGCCTGACTGTCCAGAACTCCTTATCTTTCTGATTTTTTGTTTCCCGTAGCGAATACCAGGGCCTGGTGAAACACACCGGAGGCTGCCACTGTGGGGCGGTTCGTTTTGAAGTTTGGGCCTCGGCGGACTTGCACATCTTTGACTGCAAGTGAGTTTTCTCTTCCCGAGTTGCTGGCGGGGACTTGAGAGTTAAAACATCATCTGGGGAGTCAGGGTACCGGGGAGACAGCGTTGGCCACCAGCTCATTGCTGTTGGCCTCAGGTGATGGGTACGTAAGGGTTCTTTCTATTTTTTTTTTCCCTTTTGTATATACTAGACATTTTCGGTAATATATTTTTTTTAAACGTGGGGGGAAGCTAAAAATAACCGAGCCTGCTCTGTGAGAAAGAGAGAGAGAGAGAGCACACAAGCGAGCTCACTCCTACAGTACATTCCCCGGGTGACACAGAGCAGGGCCCTCCCGGCTTATGCCTCCCAGCATCACCCCTCAGACTGTACTGGTGGAGGGTTGACACGGAGCAGTTAGCTGGAGGCAGGTCAGGCTGGGCACGGAATGACAAGCCTTGGTTGGGCACAGTCCTCACAGGAGTCTAGAGGTGGGGGTAAGCGGGGGGATACGAGTGGAGGCTGTGCACACCTGGAAGCTTCCATGGGCCAGGCCCTCGGGCTCTGTTCTGGATGAGGCAGATGGTCCCAGCAGGATTCACGGAGGGCCCGCTTTGAGCACCTTCCCAGGCCAGTTGTCATAAAACAAAGGCACGACAGGCTGTGACTTCTGAACCAATAGTTAGCAGGCAACTAGTTGTTCAACGGGATCCGGTCCTTTTTTGCCCCCTCGATGGTGCAGTCCCTGAATCCCATAGGGATGATACATAAACACCACGGAATTAGTCACATGGAGAACCGACCAGGCTACTAGCAGTGGAGTCCAGATTGGAGAAGCAGCACCGTGGGGACAATCTGTTAGAGGATTCTATATGAAATTCGACCTTTTTCTCAAAGGCGGACGGAAAAGGGGGATTTAGATTTGATTCCGGAGATGGTCATTCCGAGGATTCATCCGACTCGAAGGCCAGGCTTTCTGTGATGGACAGATGAGGAAGCAGGAAACCCAAACCGCCTTGTCCGCTTTAGGTGTGGGGATCCTGGAGGCATAAGATGGTACCCATGCCTGACATTTGTTTTCTAAGTGTTTCTAGAATCCAGCAGTTCCCTTCACTGTAATAGGGTGTGTGTGTGGGGGTTGTGTGGGAGGGTAGGCAGCAGGAATGTGGTCGTGATGGTCTGGTTTTCCGAGGGGTATGCAGCTTTGACCGCTGAGCCGAGACCCCCGGTGGCCCGTCCATCTGCGTGAGCTCCCCTTTCCCTGCACGGTGCTGACAGGGGCTTCACCTCTGGGGACATACTGGTGGGGGGGGGGGTGGTGCTTGGGCACTCGGAGGGCACAGGTGCTTGTTTCACAATCTGGGAACTGCTCTTTGTTTTTTGTAGCTGCAGCATTTGCAAGAAGAAACAGAATAGACACTTCATTGTCCCAGCTTCTCGCTTCAAGCTCCTGAAGGTTAGTGCTAAGAGCAGGTGGGAGGAGCCCCCGACTCCCGGCGGGTCCCCTGTGGAGTGCGAGACTCGGGGAGCACAGCAGGACCTCTTCAGGGGGCCTTCATTTTCTTTGTCACCCCAGGTTTCACGTGTATTTCTACAAGGCTATATTATTTTCCCCCTTGAGATTTTGGATGAAGGTTTGATGTGACTGTAGAAACATTAAAAATAGAATCAAAAGATAAATACGGTTACCCACATCCCATCAACCAAAGGTAACTTACTACTGTTACATTTGGGTATATATCCTCATGCATTATTTTCTATGTGGGTAAATACAACTAAATAATAATAATATTGTATATGTTATCAGAGTAGGATTTTATCTTTTTTTTCTGTTGTATAACCAACTTTTATCATTTCCCATGAAAAATATATGACTTAAAAACTTTAATGATGAATTAAAATTTCTGTTGAGGTATAGTGGATATATAACATTAGTTTTAGGAGTACATCATAATGATTCAATATTTGTATATATTGCAAAATGGTCAGCACAGTTAGTCTAGTTAACATCTGTCACCGCCCATACAGAATATTTTTTTTCTTCTGGTGAGGACTTTTTTTTTTTTAATTTTTTTAATGTTTTATTTATTTTTGAGAGAGAGAGAGACAGAGCATGAGCAGGGGAGGGGCAGAGAGAGAGGGAGACACAGAATCTGAAGCGGGCTCCAGGCTCCGAGCCGTCAGCACAGAGCCCGATGCAGGGCTCGAACTCACGGACCACGAGATCATGATCTGAGCTGAAGTCAGATGCTTAACCGACTGAGCCACCCAGGTGCCCCATCTTGTGATGAGGACTTTTAAGATTTCTTCTCTTAGCAGCTTTCAATTACACAGCAGCAGCATCGTTAACTATAGTCACCATGCTGTGCGTTACATTTCCAGGCCTATTTGTAAACAAAAGTTCGTAGCTTTTGATCTCCTTCGCCCATTTTGACCACCCACCCCCTTGCCTCTGCCAACCACCCGGCTGTTCTCTTAAGCTTAGTTTTTTGTTTTGTTTTTAAATTCTGCATGTAAATGGGATTATACAGTATTTGTCTTTCTCTGACTTATTTCAATTACCATAATTCCCTTAAGGTCCATCCATGCTGTCGCAAATGGCAAGATTTCATTCTTTTTAATGGCTGAATAGTATTCCATCGTGTGTGTGTGTTTGTCTGTGTGTGTGTGTCTGTACATCGTACCTCTTTATCCATTCACTCATCAGTGGACGCTTAGGTTGTTTCCATATTTTGGCTATTGTAAATAATGCAGCAATAAACATTAAAATGGTGAATTTTATGGTGTGTGAATTATATCCCAGTTTTCAAAATCAAGTGCATTTCCAATACAAATAATGGACATTAAGAAACAAATTGAGACCATCATACCATTTGAAGTAATGCAAAGAGGGGCGCCTGGGTGGCGCAGTCGGTTAAGCGTCCGACTTCAGCCAGGTCACGATCTCGCGGTCCGTGAGTTCGAGCCCCGCGTCAGGCTCTGGGCTGATGGCTCAGAGCCTGGAGCCTGTTTCCGATTCTGTGTCTCCCTCTCTCTCTGCCCCTCCCCCGTTCATGCTCTGTCTCTCTCTGTCCCAAAAATAAATAAACGTTGAAAAAAAAATTTAATAAAAAAAAAATGAAGTAATGCAAAGAAAGTTAAATACTTAGGTGTTCAGTTAACAAAATGCTTCCCTGATCTGTGTCCTGAATATCATAGAAGGTTGATGAAGTTATTGAGAAGAACTGGATAAGTGGACAGACACCATGTGTCTGTGGATGGCAACATAGTATTGATGTTCGTTCTCCCCACCCCGCCTGCCTGTAGGTTTAATGCAATTTCTGTCAAAACCCCAGGAGGGCTTTTGCAGACATAGGCAAGATTAACTATAAAATTTATTGGGAAACACACAGGCCCTAAAATACCTAAAACAATCTCCACAGAGAACAGTGAAGTGGAACAAAGTAACTCCTCTTGCCACGAAGGCTTATTGTGTAGACGTAGTCATCAAGGTAGTGTTACATGGTCAGAGATGTGGATCAATAGAAAGGAATAGAGGCTCAGAAGTAGACTCAGTGCCATATGCTCAAATGATTTTTCAAAGGCACTGTTGCCTTGTTGATTTTCTGTCCAAGTGATCTATCCATTGACATAAGTGGGGGCATGAAGGCCCCTCCTATGATTGTTATTACCATCCGTTTCTTTATGTCTGTGAATAGTTGCTTGATGAATTTAGGTGCTTTCATGTTGGGTCCATAGATATTTACAATTATTTACACTCCGTTGGATCGTTCCCTTTATCATTTTGTAGTGTCTTTGTCTCTTTGTTTTAAAATTTTTATTTTCTTAAATGTTTATGAGAGAGAGAGAGAGAGTGTGTGAGCATGAGCGGGGGAGGGGCAGGGAGAGAGAGGGAGACACAGAATCTGAAGCAGGCTCCTGGCAGAGCCCCACGTGGGGCTCGAACTCACAAACCGCGAGATCATGACCTGAGCTGAAGTTGGACACTTAACCGACTGAGCCACCCAGGCGCGCCCCGTCTCTTTGTTTTAAAGTCTGTTTTTTCTGATGGAAGTCTTGCTACTCCAGCTTTCTTTTTGCTTCCATTTGCATGGTAAATGTTTTTTTGTCCCTTCACTTTCCTTCTACGTGTGTCCTTAGGTCTGAAGTGAGTCTCTTGTAGGCAGCATGTTGATGGATCTTGCTGATCTAAACACTTCTTAACTTTACTGTTTTGGGGAACTCTTTTGTGCTGGGTGGAGGTTTTGAAAGGTACACAAGTAGGTCTTCCCTCCATTGTCCTTCAGCCCCTGAATCTCTCCCCCCACCCAGTCATTTCCTAATGTGTCTATACTGCCATTCCTGTATTTGCAGCATATTTTGTTATGTGAATGTACCATAAGCAGTTTCCTGTATTGGAACTTCTGGGTTGAGTGCAGTTTTCCCCTCAGTTAGAAACAACACTGTGATGAACCTCCCCGTGTAGAAATCTTTGGTAATTTAGCAATTCCTTTAGGATCAATTCTCTTAGAAATAAAATCTCTGGTCAAAGAATATAACCTTTTTAAAAAAGGCTTTGGCACACCGGTGCTAATACGGGGTGGGATGGGGATTCAGTTGCTCCCTCGGTTCCCGTTGCCCCTCCTGTGGTCTGACAGACTTCTCTGTGCTTTGGTGTAATACTGTGTTTCCATGTCTGTCTCCTTTATTAGGGGCTCCCAAGTGCCACCTTTTGTCAGCTTCCGGTCTTGTGGGCGTGGCATCGAACAGGCCCTCAGGGTCTGGGAGGAAAACCTGAGTGAATGAATGAATGAGTGATGGTCTTTCCTGGTTAGTGAGATTTTTAATCCCAGATGCTTGGGGCTTATTTGTCTCCTTTTCTTTGTTTGCCCCTTGATCCTTTGTGGGGGCGCCCGGGGGAGGAGGGGCACGCCCGGGCAGCACACTTCTCCGTCTTTCCCGTAAACCCGGAGAATGCCACTGTGCTCTCCTCGGAAGCCTGCTGGAGGCTGTGGCCCCAGTTCAGCTTCGTCCCTGAGCACCTGTGACAGATGGTTCCCGAAGGCGTCAGCAGGTACAGCCATTGGCTCTTGGGTCTTGGAATTGATACTTTTTTCCTCCTTAGGCCTGCTGCTCACTGCATTTTCCTGGTGCCCTAGAGCAACATACTCAGCCCCAGCCTGTGGAAGGAGTGATTTTCTGTTTGTTTGATTTTTAATTAAGTGCAAAACCTCTTCATTCAACAAGTATTTCTGGGACACCCCGCATGGCCCAGCACCGACCCACTGAAACCCAGCGGCCAACTCGACAGACAAGGCCCTTGTTCTCTTAGTTTATGTGTTTTAGGTGGGCAGACATATAAATAAGAAAAAGTCCAGTAAGGCCATGTGGAAAGTTAAAATAGAGCAATGTGATAGAAGGTTGCTGGGTGGCGAGTGTAGATCGCTTAGGGAAGGTCTGGCTGGGGTTTACATGGCGAAGACGTTGGGGGGGCCGGGGCTGGAAGAGTGTCCCAGGCAAAGGGAATGCTTGTCGCAGAGGGGCACGTGCTTGGCACGTCTAAGGAGCCGAACAGCGGCCAGACGGGTGCTCTGTGGGGTGCAGGTGAAGGAGCGGACCCAGATGGCATCAGGGACAGAAACGGGACCAGACAAGGAGACACTGTGAAGGCCGTGGAGGGTTTCGAGCAGGGTGGTGACAAGGCCCACTTGGACGATTTCAAAGCTCGCTTTGGCTGCTGTGTGGGGAATGGATTGTGAAGGGGTAAGCACGGAGACAGGGAGGCAGCCAGGAGGTTGCTGGGGGGGGGGGGGGGGCAAGGGAGAGGTGACGGGAGCTTGGATTGGGGTGGTAGTCATGGCGACAGAAGGAAAATAGATATTTGGGGTTTATTTCCGAGCGGTGGCTCTCAAGCTTCAGGGCGTGCAGGGTCAGCCAGAGGGCGTGTTAAAGGAGATGGCCATAGGGCTGGGAGGGGAGGCCCAAGAATTGACCTTTCTTGCGCCTGGGACCACACTCGGAGAGCCACCGCTTCAGGGGAAGGGTGAACGGGGTTAGACAAAGGGTGGACGTGGAGAAGGGGGAAAGAGGCATCCGAGTCACATCCACGCTGTGGGCCCCAAGCAGCAGCGCGGCGATGGCGAGGCCAGCTCCCGGGGGAGGAGCAGGCGTGCGAGAGCGCTGGCCACGGGGGTTCTTTCTCGGAAAAGTCCCAACTGAGGACGGGGTGGACGTTCACCGAGACGGAGATGGAAGTGGGCAGCTGGGTGCGCCGGTCTGGAGTTGACAGTGAGCGGAGTTGCCGCTGCTGAAGCATTGAACTGTGAGACTGGGTCGCCAACACTCAGAGGCTTGGGCGGAGGGGCCTGAGAAGGATGGCCACCGGGGACGGAGGAAAGTCTGTCGAGTGTGGTGTCCTCAGACAACCGGTTTCACAACAGAAGGACTGGTACCGAGAGGTCAGGTTAAGAGGAGCACGTTGGGAGGAGGGGCGCCTGGGCGGCTCAGTGGGTTAAGCGGCCGACTGTTGGTTTCAGCGCCGGCCGTGATCTCACGGTTTGTGGGTTCGAGCCCCGCGTCGGGCTCTGTGCTGACGGCTCGGAGCCCGGAGCCTGCTTCGGATTCTGTGTCTCCTCTCTCTCTGCCCCTCCCGTGCTCGTGGTCTGTCTGGCTCTGTCTGTCTCTCCAAAATAAACATTAAAAGAAAACAACAGAAATGGTCAAATAAATACATACATACACACACAAACAAATAGGGTAATAAAATGGAAATGATAAGCTACTACACAAGTTATTTCATACCTCGTTTCTCAATTAATGTTCAACCTTGGAGTTTGTTCCATGTTAGTATTTGGAAGTAGAACTGTCTCCCTCTTTCTAAAAGTTGCAGTGTCCCCGTTTCATGGGTGTCCATCATTGCTGTGACCAGTGTTCTGTTGGCGGCCGTTTTCTGTTTTTCCAGTTATCTGTAGCCTTGTTTTCAACAGTGCTGTAGTATCTGCGTACGTACCGTTGGATGGACGTGGAATTTTGATGGCAGGATAAAGTTCTAGAAGTGGAATTTCTGTGCTAAAGGATGTGTTTTTCAATTTTGGTAGTTGTTGCCAAATTTTAACAATTTACGTCCCCATGGCTGGTATGTGACAGCGCGTGTACCAAGTTAACCAACTTTTATTTTGGCCCACCTGCCAGTGACAAAAATAACCTTGCAGTTTATGAGCGCGAATATCATTTCATAGGTGGCAGAGTGATTTGCTTTCCCTTTTCTCTGTTTGCCCAGTTTCGTGTCCTGCCCAGTTTCCCGTTTGTATTATCCATTAAGGAAATTGGCCCTTTGACCGTGATGTCTGGCAAATATTCTTTTCCTAGTTTGTCCTTAGTAGGTGAACTCCAGTAAAATCAACACTTGTCTTAAGATCTCGAGCAGTGCTGTTTGGGGACAGGGAGAGCCAGTCTCTGGGGTGAGCCTTTTAGGCCTGGAAGGCAGGCATTTTCTCTTCCTGACATTGACGGGACGTGCTGTGTTGCCGTGGATCCGGGACCGCTTGAGGCTGAGTTGTTCGGCAACGCACTTGACAAAGAGAAGCCGTGAGCTGCCACGCTCAGGGCTAACGTGTCTCTGGGCGGCGTAGGTGGGCCCTTGTCCCAGAGCCGCCTCCAGTCTCTGCGGGACATTGGACATGTCCTCATAATCCTGAAAGCCCTACAAAAGGGCTTCCCCCCACCCCCATTGAGCCTTTTAAAAGATTTAATTTTTTTTGATGACCAAAAAAACAAAACAAAACAAAAAAACCACCTCTTTGTAAAAGGAGAACATCTATTTTGCCTGTTCTTGCTTAGGGAGCAGAGAGTATAACCACATACACGTTCAACACGCACAAGGCGCAGCACACGTTCTGTAAGAGATGCGGCGTTCAGAGCTTTTACACTCCCCGCTCCAACCCTGGAGGCTTCGGTAAGTGAAGGTTATGGGCCGCCAGCCCAGGGCGGGGGTGGGGGTGGGAGGACACGGAGACGCGCCGTGTGGCTGCTCCAGGTCAACGCTGGCCTATTTGGCTTGCCTCTTGCTTGGCTGGGCCCTTCCACACGCGTCTTATGGAAGAACAGGGCTCTTTCAGCCAAGGTTCTTTTTTTTTTTTTTTTTTTTTTTTTTTTTTTTCTCAAACGATGGCATAGAAGGTTGGGTCTGGTCATTCGCCCAGAAACCTTCCTGGGCCGGCTCTGCCAGAGCTGCGTGTCGCTGGGGCTGACATTAAAGGGTGGACAGAGAAGAGGAGACAGGCCAGGGTTGGGGCCGGGGGGTGGGGAGGGGAGGGAATTTTAATACCCATGATGGTTAAGGGAGTGAAGGAGGCAAGAATGTGGAGGATTGATAATGCCATTTAAAAAATTACTCCGTTTGGGGCGCCTGGGTGGCTCAGTTGGTTCAGCGTCTGACTCCAGCTCTGTCTGTGAGTTCAAGCCCCACGTCGGGCTCTGTGCTGACAGCTCGGAGCCTGGAGCCTGGAGCCTGCTTCGGATTCTTTGCCTCCCTCCCTGCCCCTCCCCCACTCAACGTTTTGTCTTCAATCTCTCAAAAATAAATAAAAATGTTAAAAAATTGAAATACTCCGTTTGTTTCAAACACACACAGCAGAATCCCCAAGCCCCTCTTCAGGTGCAGTTAGGGTCTGAGGAGAGGAAGCAAGCTTGGGACACTTGTTCAGGATGACCGCAAATGCAGTGTGAGTTGAGTGGGAAGCAGCAGGTGTTCCTTGGGATCTGGTGCCCTCCAGAGCTGTGGTGGGGCCGCTGTGACCGTGGCGGGGTTTTGTGCCTTATGGCTGGGGGCGGGGTGTGACAGCACCCTTGTCCTCCCCGCCCCATTTGTTCACCAGCTCCCGTTTGTTCCTCATCTGTCTCGTGGAGAGGCCTTCCTGCCTGCCTTAATCAAGAAAGGCTTTCGGAAGGTACAAGATCCTATAAAGGTGGGCAGGTGTTTAATGCTTAGGAAGTTCTGTCTAAACCCTGGAAGAGGCCTGTGGATTCTTCAGGCTGCCAGTCAGATGGTTCTAGGCTTGAATCTTTGTACTCTCGGCGTGGCACTGAATGGTATCCAACCTTGGCATCCCTGGTTTAGGAAGTCTGGCCCCCATCTGAGAGGTGAGGAAAGCAAAGCTTTACCAGCGTGTCGCTGTTGGTACACGGATCGGCGGTACGGCGACGCTTGTGGGTGTGGGTTTGTCCAAGAGCCAGCACAGTACCTGCTGTCATTCACACCTGGGACCTTGCTTTTTCTGTGTCACCTCCCCTAGGAATCGCCCCCCATTGCCTAGATGAGGGCACCGTGCGGAGTGTGGTCATTGAGGAATTCAATGGCACCGATTGGGAAAAGGCCATGAAGCAGCACAAGACCATCAAGAACATGTCTAAAGAGTGAGCTCCTGCTTCGCCCTTCCTGAAAAGGAGGAACGACAGGGGCCAGCAGCTTTGCTGTCCCCGCTGCACCTCGGTGGTGCTCGTGAATGTGGCTGACTGGGGCCACCGGCTCCGTTGGCCAGCGGCCATCTGGATGTTCGCAGTTCGCTCCAGCTACCAGTTTCTTTAGGCAGCTCTTTGTCCTTCCTCAGCCCAGATTTTGATGTAGGCTAGTTGGTATCCTTTCTCTTCTCAACTTTTGTGTGATCTTTTAGAAAAATAAATATTTTTAACATGAAAGCAGTTGCCGCGGTTTATCATTGTCTTTGCACTTTGATTTTGCTTCTGAGGCCAGTCATTTAATAGCTGATTGATTGATTGATTATTTTAGAAGGGGGGAGGGGCAGAAGGAGAGAGAGAATCTTTTTTTTTTTTCCTTAAATTTATTTATTTATTTGAGAGAGAGACAGCACAAATGGGGAAGGGGCAGAGAGAGGGGGGGAGAGAGAGAATCCCAAGCAGGCTCCACCCTGCCAGTGCAGTGTGATGGGCTCAAACTCATGAAACCACAAGATCATGACCTGAGCTGAAACCAAGAGTTGAATGCTCAACCAACTGAGCCACTGAGGCACCCCTGATTTCTTTTTTTTTTTTTAATTGGAGTAAAATACCCATAACATGAAATCGAACATCTTAATCATTTTCAAGTGTCCAGTTTAGCAGTGTTAAGTCCATTCACGTTGTTGTGCAACCAATTTCTAGACCTTTTCATCTGGCAAAACTGAATCTCTGTACACATTAAAGAACAACTTTGAGTCTCTCTCTCTCTATATATGTATGTGTTTGTGTATACACATACATATATACACACACACACACATATATATATTATTGTTTATTTACAACTTTTTTAAATGTTTATTTCTGAGAGAGAGAGAGACCATGCGAGCAGGGTAGGGGCAGAGAGAGAGGGAGACACAGAATCCAAAGCAGGCTCCAGGCTCTGAGTTGTCAGCACAGAGCCTGACCTGGGGCTTGAACTCACGAGCTGTGAGATCATGACCTGAGCTGAAACCGGATGCCCAACCGAGTGAGCCACCCAGGTGCCCCTATTTACAATTTCTTAAATGCTTATGTTTGAAAGAGCATGAGTGGGGTGGGGGGCAGAGATAGAGGGGGACAAAGGATCTGAAGCAGTCTCTGTCCTGACAGCACAGAGCTCAGTGTGGGGCTCGAACTCACAAACTGTGAGATATGACCTGAGCCAAAGTTGGACGCTTAACCGACTGAGCCACCCAGGCACCCTGAGTCTGTATTTTTTTTTTAAACGTTTATTTATTATTGAGAGACATCGCTTCTCAGCCTTTTGGCTAAGATCAAGTGTATTATTGAGAGACACACACAGAGCGTGAGCAGGGGAGGGGTAGAGACAGGGGGAGACACAGAATCCGAAGTAGGCTCCAGGCGCCGAGCTGTCAGCACAGAGCCCGACGCGGGGCTCGAACTCACAAACCGCAAGATCATGACCTGAGCCGAAGTCGGTCACTTAACCAACTAAGCCACCCAGGCACCCCAACTGAGTCTGTATTTTTAAATGAGGCAACATTTAGGAAGGTAGAATGGAAAAGTAACTGTGTGAACAGAGGTAGGGACCCAGAGTGGACTAGAGGCTTCCAATGGGAGGAAGTAATAGAAGGAATCAGAAAAACATGTTGGAAGCCAGCCTGTGGACAGTGTTGGATATTAAGCTCAGGAATTTGGCCTTTATTTTATTGTCATTGGGAACCCCCAAACAGCTTTGAACAGGATGAGTAATGCCTGGCCCGTTACGGAGTCTCTTGACTGGTTCCCCTGTCCCCCGACCCGCCTCGCTTCGCATTGCTGCTTGTTGTAATCAGATCAACTTCCCTAGAGCATTCCTTTCGTTACCAAATCCTGAGTATATTCATAACGGCACATGCTTAATAAACATTTGCTCTTTGTCTAGGGAGATTAATCATGAAGTGACTCGTGAGGGAGACTAGACCGGGAGAAGGAACAGGGAGAGGAAATGCAGAGGGACTGGTGTTCCGTAGGCTCACCACCTCTTCCAGGCTGGCGGACAGCATGTTCACTGTAAGGCTGGAAGGCGCTGGTAAGAAATTACACAGGTAAAACATGAGTGCCTGATCTACCCTTCCTATTGCAATGTTATATAGAAACATAATTTTGTGTATCCTGGAAAACATCAGTGGCGCCACACTGCACCTTTTCTGCAGCTTGCATTTTTAAGGATATCTTGACCTCTTCATATCAATATACATATCCTCATTATTGACTGTGACATAGAATTGCACAGAAGGGGGGCGCCTGGGTGGCTCAGTGGGTTAAGCAACTGACTTCGGCTCAGGTCATGATCTCGCGGTCCGTGAGTTCGAGCCCCGCGTCGGGGTCTGTGCTGACAGCTCAGAGCCTGGAACCTGCTTCGGATTGTGTCTCTCTCTCCCACTCACGCTCTGTTTCTCTCTCTTTCTCTGTCTCTCAAAAATTAAAAAAGCATCAAAAATATTAATAGTAGGGGCGCCTGGATGGCGCAGTCGGTTAAGCGTCCGACTTCAGCCAGGTCACGATGTCGCGGTCCGTGAGTTCGAGCCCCGCGTCGGGCTCTGGGCTGATGGCTCAGAGCCTGGACCCTGTTTCCGATTCTGTGTCTCCCTCTCTCTCTGCCCCTCGCCTGTTCATGCTCTGTCTCTCTCTGTCCCAAAAAAATAAATAAACGTTAAAAAAAATTAAAAAAAATATTAATAGTAAAAAGAATTGCACAGAATGGATATTGTTTATTTAACCTTTTTTTTTTTCATGGAAAGTTGGGTTTTCCGCTTTTCCTTTGGTGAGTATTGGCAATAAACATCCTTTTCCGTGCATCTTTCTATATTTGTGTATTTGAGGATCTTTGTTGTCTATGTTATGCGTTCAATAGAGGAAGGAAATGGTTCTAGAGACTGCAAGAACTTGCCATTGCAGATCACTAGAATTCTTTCCTTTATGACCTTGCCTCTTCCAAACGCCTCAGACCTTTTCCCACGTGCACTTCATTAGATCACATGTTATTCAGGTTTTAATTACTGTCGACTCCACTTCCATGTGGATTTTTCTTATAATATCAGCATGGGACGGGAGCCCCACTGGCAGGGGTGAGAACGGCACGGGGGGTACACGCAGGATTCGGCCTTGACCGTGACCAAGACCAAGAGCTCTGATCAAACTAGAGCTCTATTTTTGTTCCCCAACCTCTTGTGGTCCCAAGAACATAAACATTCTCTAGTTCTGGTGACTGTTCCATCCCGTTCTGTCTTGTCTCTCCATAAGGTTTGACACAAGGGTCACTTTTCACAGAATTCACTGACCTTACGCCCTGATGCTTTTTACCACCAACAGACGAGATAGGTGGTGTCCAGGGTAAGGTAAGTACCCTCCAGAAAATGCTCTGTTGGTATGTGGGAAGAAGATGTTGGGATTTTAACGTATCCTTTTAAAATTTATTTTCTGTGGATGTTTTAGAATATATATATTAGCACTCAAACATACATTATGTTATTATTAAGGGGTGCCTCGGTGGCTCAGTCAGGTCATGATCTCAGGTCATGATCTGAGGGTCAGATCTGATTCTTTGGCTCAGGTCATGATCTCAGGGTCATGGGCTGGAGCCCCCATCAAGCTCTGTCCTGGGCATGGGGCCAAGAATCCATGTTTTGGATTCTTTCTCTTCCTCTGCCCGTCCCCCTCATTCACGCATACTCTCTCTCATATATATATATATATATTTTTTCACCTGAATATGTATGTATATATATGGTTGAAAAATCATAGTTAGGAGATCACTGCTGTATTTCCCCCTAATCAGCGCTACCCATCAAACATCTATCTATCCATGGTTGTAGCAGTTTCTATTTCTTTTATTTTTTTTTAAGTTTATGTATTTACTTTGAGAGAGACAGAGACAGCATGGGGGGGTGGGGAGGAGCAGAGAGGAAGGGGGAGAGAGAATCCCAAGCAGGCTCCACATTGCCAGTGCAGAGCCTGACCCGTGAGAGCCCCTGCCATGCAAGATCATGACCTGAGCAGAAACCAAGAGTCAAATTCTTAACCGACTGAGCCCCACTGGTGCCTCCCAGTTTCTAGTTCTTGAGAATAAATGCATACACATGGAATTGCAGAGTCCAGGGATATGTACATATGCAAGTTTTTTGATATATCGATTTCCAGAAGGTTCCACTATCTTGTGTTTCCTCCAGCAGCATATATGTGTTCATACCCTCACCTACAGAACACTAGGCGTTATTATTTATAGAAATCTTTGCAAATTAGATACATGAAAAGTGACATTTTCTTTTAATTTTTATTTCTTGGGGCACCTTCAGCTCAGGTCATGGTCTCACAGCTTGTGGATTCGAGCCCCGCATTGGGCTCTGTGCTGACAGCTCAGAGCCTGGAGCCTGCTTCGGATTCTGTGTCTCCCTCTCCCTCTGCCCCTCCCCTGCTCACGCTCTGTCTCTCTCTTTCTCAAAAATAAATAAACATTAAAAACATTAATTTGTATTTATTATTACTGTGATTTATTTTTTTCCCATTTATTGTGTGTGTGAAAGAGAGAGAGAGAGAAATACCTATTCATGTCATCTGCAGTCTTCATCTTCCTCACTGGAAACCCCTCCCACCCTATTCCAATCGGCACCTTTAGTGAAAAATGGACTTTCATTCTTGCTTTAATTTGCATGCTCTGGCTACTGCTTAGGCTAAAGAGTTGTTTATTGGCCATTTGGATTCGCCTGCTAATAACATTTAAAACTTTTTTGTTGTGGGGGCACCTGGGTGCTCAGTTGGTTAAGCGTCAAGCTCTTGATTTCAGCTCAGGTCATGATCTCATGATTTGTGAGGTCGAGCCATGTGTTAGGCTCTGTGCTGACAGCTGCAGAGCCTGATTAAGATTCTCTCTCTCTCTGCCCCTCCCCCATGCTCTCTCGCTCTCTCTCAAAAATAAATAAATATTAAAAATAAATACATAAAATTCTTGTTGTGAAATATCTGTCTTTTCCTTTACATAGTTTCCAGCCTGGCTTGATAAAGAACTGCCCTGCTCCAAGGTATATGTGCATTTAGTCTCCCAAATTTCCCAAATGATATGTATATATATGATATGATACATATATATATATATAGATAGATATAGATATAGATATAGATAATTTTCTTTTGAGAGAGAGAGAGGGAGAGAGAGCAGAGGCACAGAGAAAGAAAGAGAATTCCAAGCAAGCCCCACGCCC